ATAATATAATATTGTGTTAACCCAAAATGTAGATTCTGTGATAAATATCCAGAAACAGTTTAACATCTTGTATCAGGTTGTACGTTATTTGCAGCCACTGAATATAAAAACGGCATGACAAAATTGGCCATTATCTGCACTGGAAAATCTGCAACTTCTACGAGAAGAAAACTGAAAGAAACTGGTATGAACACCACCCAGACCCGGTTACGGAGATAGGACCTGTTACAATTTTATCAGACTACACAAGACACACAGGCAGAACAATCAACGCTAACCGCCCAGACATCGTTATTAGAGACCATAAACAAAAAAAAAGTGTCTCATTATTGATATGGCAGTCCATGCTGACTGCAATGTATCTTTGAAGATCTTCAAAAGGCTGTCAAAAAACAAGGACCTTGAAATAGAAATCTCAAAAATGTGGCACATGAGAACATCAACAATCCCTGTTGTCGTTGGAGTCCTCAGATAGGTTGGAAAAGATTCCAGTAGACTCATTGAAGGGATTCCTGGAAGTCCATGCCTCAAAGAAATACAAAAATTGTTCTCACGAGTACAGACCACACCTTACAAAGGGCTTTATCTATGTAAAATATGTGTGTGTGTTTTTTTAATTGGTCAGTGAAAAATGCCATGATGCCATTTCTGACCTTAGGTCTCTGGTCAAGACCCGAAAAGAAATCAAAAGGAAATAAAATAAATATAATAATAATAATGTCAGCACTATGAAATGAATTATTATTATTATTGTTATTATTATTATTATTATTATAAGCAAAAATACCTGACTGGCGTGTTCACGAATAAATCAGGACTTATGCTTCTAATTAGAATATCATAAGTCTTCTTATGAGTGCCGTGTACCTTCAAGACGTTGAAGGACATGACTCTCCACAACTTCTTGTCCTTTGTAGACCTTAGTAAATTTTGTCCTTTTGCTGCCTCTCTTAATACCTGTTCTGCCAACCATTCACACAGGCTCGTTAGGCAGGCTATGCGCTGATTTCCTGAGTCTCTCTTCCATTCAATATATCCCGCGAGTGTTATCTTTTCCAAACCTTCTTTCCTCATTATGTGCTCTAGAAACTTCAAATGTCTATATCTGATGCGACGTATATGTGTTCTGTATCTTGAATTAAATTGTCACCATCCGGTTCCAGAGCTAAGGATCAAAGTGTAGTAGCTGCCTTTGGGTGGACAAACTCCATTTTATCTTATAATTTTCTTTCCGTCTTCCGACAGAACACTCAAAATGAAATCATTAAGAGGTGCCTGGTCACAAGGATTCTAATCATAAGTCAACACTTTCCTCATTGCATCAAAGAGGAAGGGTCGGTGATATATCGGAGATTGGACAATTGTTACCTCTAGTCAATGCACACACGCCAGGCCTCCTCATATTAAACCGACTTCCTGCCACTGAAAACTGGCTTAAAACAAATTTTTGCTCTGTTTCTGCCTGGCTTTTAAAATTTGTTTTAAGCCAGTTTCATTTTATTTTTTTCGTATTAAACTAATGATAATGGCTCACCGCTCGTATCTGAGTAGGCCTGTCTGCATAGGACGGCTAGCCAATCCCTGTTACACACACCTACTCAGCCACATTTGTGTTTATTCCACACCCACAGAGTTCACCTGTGGTTTATACCGGATCTAAGTTACATTTTCTTAGAGAGAGCGCTTCATCTGGTGAGATTAACAGTTTGAACAAGGTCAGCACAGTCAAGCCCTCGGTCACGATGACTTGTGACTTAGTGCTAGCACAACTATCGTCTACCCAACTTCACACACAAGCCTTGGGTCAACCTGTGAGGTATAGTTTTCAGGCAATGTCTATAGTTGACTGCTCGTACCAAAGTATGCCTCTCTGCATAGGGCGGCTAGTCTATCCCTGTTGTTGTTCAGGTACACTTGTGTTTGTTGAACAGCCACAGAGCCCAAATGTAGTTTATATTGCAACTATGCTGAGCGGGGTTTAGTTACAGTTTTTGGGATAGAGCGCATTATATGGTCGGATGTACAGTCTGAACAAGGCCAGTATGCTCAAAGCCTCGGTCACGATGACTAGTTGGTTTGAAAATACTTACAAATTAATCTTAATTTGTTACGGGAAATGATAATAAACATGGAGCAATCTTAATTCCCATTGTATGCTTGAATAAAACATTAAGCTCTCTGTGTGAATCAGTTTTAATATTTTATATTATTAGGATTCACTTGGATTATATACCAACAGAAATACCTATATATATATATATATATATATATATATATATATATATATATATATATATAATGAAATGGACAAAGTCCGACAATTATTTTAAGACATATTTTATGTTTATACGTTTTTTTACCGATACAAATATTTAAGTAAATGCTCTGTTTATGATAAACAGTATTAACGACATTTACCGGCCAAAATGCCTGAGAAATTTTCATAGAAAATATGCGCCCTCCGACAGGAATCGAACCTGTATCCTATACGGAACCGTCATATAGCCTGACAAAGTCCGACAATTATTTTAAGACATTTTATATTTATTATTAAGGAGCATTTACTTAAATATTTGTATCTATAAAAGAAGTTTAAACATAAAAAATGTCATAATATATATATATATATATATATATATATATATATATATATATATATATTCTTGGGTGTACAAAATTTTATAATGGAAATAAAAACGGCAAGTTGAGCTTTACCATTCATGATTAAAAGGAAAATATATTGACCAGCCGACCAGTTTCGCCCTCACTCAACAGAGCTGAAATGAGGGAGGACTAAATATTACAATATGAAATATAAAAACATGAGAAGCATGTGATAAAATAAAGGTGGAAAGATCAGATAGAAACTTTATCAAGCCCTAACAGGCATTCCCTCTGTTTACAGAGGCAGGGCCACCTGGACCTGACATAGATCGTTTCCAATAAATTTAAGTGTAACACAGATATGCATGACTAAGGATGTAAAATAAGTTAATGTTGAAATTTGTGGCTCAACTTGGATTGTTTATAAGGTGCTCAGCACGTCATAAACAATCTTATTTAGTTTTCCCTCGATTTCAACTCTGTTGAGTGAGGGCGAAATCGGTAGGCTGGTCAGTTTGTTTTCCTTTTACTCATGAATGGTAAAACTCGTCTTGCCGTTTTCATTTTCATTTTCATATATATATATATATATATATATATATATATATATATATATATATATATATATAAGAAATATAGTCTTAAGGTGTGCTACATTTATGGGATAAAGTGCTCAATATCAGAGATAGAGCGTGTGTAAATATAAAAGTGAACATTGAAGTCAAGACTTAGAGATGATTTCGTTTAGCATGAAAAACAGACTGTCGCCTATAAGTGTTGACTTCAATGTTATATATATATATATATATATATATATATATATATATATATATATATATATATATATATATAAAGACATGTTTCGTTGAATAATTTAGACATGTTCTATCTACTTATTTTCAATAGGATTCTTTCATATTCAAGGATGAACTTTTTGGTGTGATTATTGAAGGACGAGAGAAAATCGCCGTGTTGATACTTATATTATATATATATATATATATATATATATATATATATATATATATATATGGTGTGTGTGTTTTAAAATATATATATATATATATATATATATATATATATATATATGTGGGGTGTGTATGTGAAGATTGTTAAATATATATATTGATGCATGTTTCATTACATAATATAGACAAGTTTTGTCTATTTATTTTATGCATATTCTTTTCATATCGTCTGATAAGCTTTATCACATTATCATTAAAAGATGAGAGAAAATCACAATATTGATACAGATTTTTAATCTTATCTAAGCTTTCGGCTTACGTAAGCCATTTAATCTTATGTAATAAGCTGTATATATGTATATATATTTGGTAGACGGAACCCTTGGAATCTGTGGGTGGTCGGGCTAGCATCATGACCGAGAGTCTATCTATCTATCTATCTATCTATCTATCTATCTATCTATCTATGTGTGTGTGTGTGTGTGTTTTTCTTTGTATATATACTAGTCTTTTCCTTTCTTTCATACGATCCTCTATCTATCTATCTATCTATCTATCTATCTATCTATCTATTTTCCTCTCCTTTTATCAACTCTCTTCTCTCTCCCCTATTCTCTCTCTCATTTAGTTTCCCTTATTCTATCCCCCTTCTCCTTGTTTATCTCTCTATCTTAGTCTGCCCCTCTCCTTTAATCCATTGATATATCTTTCTTCCTCTTTATTTTCTTTCTCATTTTCTATCTGTCTATCTATCTATCTATCTATCTATCTATCTATCTATCTATCTATCTATCTATCTATCTATCTATCTCTTTTATAAACCTGTTGATATCTATCTATCTATCTATCTATCTATCTATGAAAGCAATCTATTTGTTTTTAAACCTGCTCATATCTATCTATCTATCTATCTATCTATCTATCTATCTATCTCTTTTTAAACCTGTTGATATCTATCTATCTATCTATGAAAGCAATCTATTTGATATATCTTCCTCTTTATTTTCTTGTATTTAAACCTGTATTTAAACCTGTTGATATCTATCTATCTATCTATCTATCTATCTATCTATCTATCTATGAAAGCAATCTATTTGTTTTTAAACCTGTTCATATCTATCTATCTATCTATCTATCTATCTATCTATCTATCTATCTCTTTTTTAAACCTGTTCATATCTATCTATCTATCTATCTATCTATCTATCTATCTATCTATCTATCTATCTTCCATAGTTTATAGTCACTTTTTTGTCTGCAATAGTTTAGGGTTGGAATTAAAACTTTTTTGACTTTTCAATTCCTCCAACGAATTGCTTTCTTTGGAGATGCTCTCTTGATAGATTGTCCCCGTCGAGGGACCATCGTCTTCTCTTGATTGCATGGGCGCCACATGATTGAAGAAATAAACATTGGTCTGAGAAGTCT